ACTGTATTATCCATCTCATGCTCTGGCAGTGGTTGATTACCAGGTCAGTGCTGAATTAAGCACCTTCATGAATCCTGTCCCTGTTTTTGCTTCCCCAAGTGCACATGGAATTAAGTTTATTTTTGGAAGCAAGGGACAGGAAAGAGCAAAGTTAAAGTTTGTGCGTGTCTCTGAAGATTTCTTCAGGCTAATTCCTCACGTTCCCAACCATATACTGTAACATGTGCCTCAAAGTGAATGCTTGGGTAAAACCACTGAGTGAGGCTTGGGGACCTAATAATCATCGGGAACTCACTTCTTGACGGGAATTCTCCCCTCTGCATTCGGCTGAAGAGTTAACTTGATGTACCTGAAGCAGAAAAATTAGAGGGTCAAAATCAAAGGGTGAAGTAGCAAAAGTGGTCAGGCAAATGGGTCAATGGTGTGTGTGAATGAAGCATTTTGTAAAACCATTAAGATTAAAAGATGTGCAGAAAATAGGTTTCAAAAAGGTGTCAGGAAGCAGCAGGGATGATTAAGTTTATCACATTTTATTAACCTCCAAACCCCACAAATCCACATCTGTGCTTCCCTTTAAGACATATACTGTTTAATAAAACAAACAGGTGCGTGCAGTGATGCATTTGTGCGTACTCACGCTTTCAGCAGACTCTGGTCTCTGTTGAGATTGTGGCTCAGCAGGTTGGAAGACAGAGAAAACAGTTCCTCACACCACGCCTACAAAAAAAAAACGAAACACAAAAACAGTCACACACTGCATCATCATTATCATCGCAATTAGTCATGGTCACGGTCGCTTTAATGAGCTCAGCACCTTGGCTTCGTCCTCCTGCGAAGCGATGAAGTTAAGCTGGTTGACGTTTACAAGGTCTGAAGCCGTAACCACGGTAACCATGCGGTTCTCCAGCCTACCAACCAGGTTTCCCACGTCGAGCAGCTCCCGCAGCTTAGCCTCCTATTGGATGACACAGAGTGAAAGCTGTCAGCGGAATCAGAGCCACGAGGGAGGCATGCACTGTAGAGAGGAGACGGATGAAAGTGAGGGGACCTGGAGGGATGCGGGGACGGCCGAGACCATTTCAGGCAGTTTATTTGCATCTATTTTTACCCAGCGTGACATGTTGTTTGTAACATACAGTGTGTTATAAGTGTAAAGAGAGTGCAGGCTGAACCTGATAGTAAATCAGGCGATCAAACAGAGAAAGATGTTTTTGTGGAAAGTAAGGAAATAAAAATAATTTAATGTTTGTCACCTTCCTCAAGAGGGGCTCCACATTTTCTCCAGTTTTTCTGACTGAAGAGAGTCTCATCATCCCTCATGCAAGTCTTGAGTTTCCACTTATTTTTTTATTTTCTAGTAAAATGGGAAATAGGCACAGCGACTCATTGAAACTTGTGCAAATATATATGGAAATACAGTATATAAGGGAAAATCAGAGTCTGTACAATCCTAACAAGGCTGAAAGCCAACACTGGGTATACACAGCAACCTCTATTCTTCAGCGCAGCCTGAATTCTCCGAGGCAAGCTTTCAAGTAGTCTTCAGGAATAGTTCTCCGGGCTTCTTGAGGGAGATTCCTCTTGTTCCAGTCAAGATGATACACGGTGTTTCAATAATGTTGAGGTGCGGGCTCTGGAGAGGCCATTCCTACTATATGCCATCTTACTGATAGTGTTA